CTATCAAATGCCTTCTCGTAGTCGATGAAGTCGATGTAGAGTGATGAATTCCATTCGATTGATTGTTCCACAATGATACGTAGAGTTGCGATTTGATCTGTACATGATTTATCCTTACGAAATCCACCCTGTTGATCTCGAAGTTGGGCGTCTACTGAGTCCTTCATCCTGTTTAACGATACTCTGTTGAAGAGTTTTCCTGGTATTGAGAGAAGAGTGATGCCCCTGTAGTTATCGCACTTGCTGAGATCGCCTTTCTTTGTTATCTTGATCAGAAGTCCTTTTTTCCAATCTATTGGTACTTGTTGTTCGTCCCAGATCTTACTGAAGAGGATGTGGAGTATCTTTGCAGTTGCTGTTACATTTGTTTCAGTGCCTCTGCCGGGATGTTGTCTGGTCCCGCTGCTTTGCCGCTCTTGATTTGTCTAATGACCATGCTGATCTCTTCAATTGTTGGTGGGCCAACATCGATTGGGAGGTCCGTGGGTGCTGCTTCGATGTTGGGTGGGTTCAGTGGGGCTGGTCGATTCAAGAGTTCTTTGAAATGTTCTACCCACCTGTTTCGTTGTTCTTCAATGTCGGTGATTACTTTACCTTCCTTGATTTTCACTGGTCTTTCTGATTTACGGTAATTTCCAGCAAGTTTCTTTGTGGAATCATACAGTTGTCTCATGTTTCCCTCTCTTGCAGCCTTTTCCACTGTCATTGTTAAATCTTCCACATATTTACGATTGTCGGTTCTGATGCTGCTCTTCACTTGCTTGTTTGCCTCTGTGTATTCGGCTTGTGCCTTGGCTTTTTCTGCTCTTGTTCGGCTGATATTGATTGCTGCCTTCTTGTTCCTTCTTTCTTCAATTTTATCCACTGTACCAACAGTAATCCATTCCTTGTGGTGGTGCTTCTTTTGGCCTCCTGACATGTTGAAACAGTTGCTCTCCATGGTAGTACCCTCTCCATTCAGTAGATCATGAAAGGCCTGGAACCTGTTGCTGAGGTCTATGTTGAATTTGTTGAGTTTGTCAGCATCTCGAAGAAAGGCCGTATTAAACTTTTGTGATGTTGTCCGCACCGTTGTCCAGTGCTTCTTGAGTTTTAGTTTCATCTTGGAGACCAGCAAATGATGATCGGATGCTATATCAGCTCCTCTTCTGATTCTCACATCCTCCATCGTCCTCCCGAACTTTTTGTTGATGCAGATATGGTCGATTTGATTCTGTGTAGTGTGATCCGGTGAAATCCAAGTGGCTTTGTGTATGTTTTTATGTGGAAATATGGTGCCACCTATGACCAGTTTATTGAAGGCACATAGGTTTGCAAATCTCTCAACATTTTCGTTCCTTTCTTCCAGTCCATATCGTCCCATTATGTCTCCGTATCGAGTGTTGTCCATTCCAACCTTGGCATTGATATCTCCCATCAGAATGGTCAGGTCCTTGGTTGGGCACTTCTCGAAGATCGACTGCAGCCCATCGTAGAATTGGTCTTTAGTGTCTTCATCGTAGTCGTTGGTCGGCGCATAACATTGGATGACGTTCATTGTAATGCCCTCTCTCTTCGTTTTGAAGGAAACTTTGATGATCCTTGGTCCATGAGATTCCCATCCAATAAGTGCATTTTGTGCTTTTCTGGACAGCATCAATGCAACTCTTTGTGTATATGGGGCACACAGTCGTTGTTGTCCAACCTGCGTCCAATGTGTTTCACTGATTCGAAGCACCTCCAGATTGTATTTTCTCATTTCTGCAGCAATTTGGAAGACTCTTCCGGTCTCCCACATTGTACGGACGTTCCATGTACCTATAAAAATTGTTGTTCTGGTTGTAAGAAGGTGCATCGGCTTCATGACTTCCGAATGAACTCGGCTTTCATCATGAGACGTCATAATTATTCCTTCTACTCCCAGGGCAGAGTTTAAATGGTTTGAATGATTTTTTCTGGTTAGCGTTTTTTTAGCGAGTTGATTTTCTACGGGATGGGGTCTCTAACCTCATGCCCAACCCTCCTCCTTTACCCGGGCTTCGTACCGGTAGCAACCCACAGAGGAGCTACAAGGTACAAGCATATGCGTGCTCTCATTAGAGCATGATCACAGTCTAAACATGTATTCCAGAACGACCGACAGTCTTCTATCGAACCTCTCCAACGATGACTGATGGCAATATGGTCTATTTGAGTCCATCGTTGGTGCAGAGGGTTGTCATTTTAGACAATGTCTCTCCTTATGCTTAAAAGTAATACTTACTAAAAATAAACGATTGTCTGAGCACAATTGCAGCAGACGATCACCATACTCCGTACTTTTGAGACCTAACACCGATAAGACGAAGTGTGCATTTTCAGGGTAGACCTTTTCTAACCCCACCCTTTTTTGTGGGAAGGCAGCATCCCTGTTTTGCTAGTTGTCTGAAGAAAAAACCTTAATGCCGTCACACCTCTGTACAGTCATCAGTAAGACTTGGCCATCGGACCTTTTTGCTTTTATTCTTACTGCTCTTCAACCGACCTGTCTGGTATGATAGGACTCTGAACGACGTTTGTCCCAGCCAGTAAAGCTCGGTTGGTTCATTACGATAGACACGTCCGACCATCACGTCAAGGTATCAGCAACGGTTGGGACGGTTAAAACAAACAAAATAAACGCAAGGACGAGACATATTCATACTCAGTCCACAAAAGATCAGATGATTTAACTCTTACTGTTTCAGATAATCTGTTTTACATGTGTAGAACATAAGTCAAAAGTTTCATAAGAAATGAAAAAATTAGATATTGCGTCAGTCATTCACAATGATAAAAAACACACATACTAACGACAAGTACAACGGAGAGATGAGAACATAGAACAGAGGATACAGTTCATAAATTACAAGATCTATACACATATATGAATAAAGGAAATAACAGAGGGACACGTCGATTCATGATCGCCAGAAGATACTCAACATATAATAGCCCTTGTCGCAACGTCAATGTATTATAATTTACTTACTCAAGCCTGTTACTGTCGTGGGGTTATAGGCCTCCGACTAAGAACTTTCGAACAGCTCTTTTTCGGGCTCCTCTTTCCAGTTTTTCCTAAGTGCTATTCACTCTCTTGATATCTACCTACAAATTCTGGCACCTTGTATCCCCTGGTATGCCTCTTTTCCTTTTCCCTAGAGGATTCCAAGTCAAGCCTTGCCTTTTGACACAGTTTAGTGATTTCCTCAATGTGTATCCTACCCACCTCCAACATTGTTTCCTGATTTTCCTCTCAGTAGACATCTGGTTTGCTCTCTATGACAGTCGATTATTGCTAACAGTCTCTGTCCAATGAATCTGTAGCATTTTGCATAAACATCTGTTAGAACATACCTGTACCTTTTTGGCGATGGTGGTAGTAGTTCTCCACTCTCCAACTCCGCATAATAGAACTGTTTAGATGCTGTTATTGTTGCTGTTGTTGAAATTAGGACTTTGGTGTTGTGTGATAGATATTCAGTTGTAGGAATGTTCCTCTGCTTTGGTAATTCATACCCTCACGCTTGCATCAGATACTTCATATTCATTGAACATGCTGTTCAGGCACATAAACGCTTCCGCTTCTTCCAGAGCCTTACCACCAAACGTGATTTGATTGGTGCTCTCTGTGTTGTATTTCAGGATCTTGCTTTTCCCTAGTGAATGCTGAAGCCCACTGTTGTGGAAGTTGCTGCCATGCTGGCTGTCTTCATCTGCATTTGATGCTGTCGGTAGGATAGGAGGGACAAGTCATCTTCAAAGTTTAAGTTGTCCAGCTCCACTCAATTTGTTCACTGTATTCTGTGCTTCTGAGTTGTAGAGGTCTCAATAATTTAGTCAACAACCAGCAGAAAGAGAAAAGAAAAAGTAGGCAACCGTGTTCGACACCGATGTTCACTTGGAATGGATCTGTGAGCTCCTTCCACAAACGACTTTGTACTTCAGTCCTTCGTAGGAGTTCCGTATGATGGTGACAATCTTCTTGTGTACTCTTTAGTGCCAAAAAGACTCCACAGTGTTCCCTTAACCACAATATTTTCTCATCGTCACCACATAATTATCACCAAGCAGAACTGCATATCTGCGTATTCCAAGTCAACAGGTGGATCTCGTGATAGAAAATCAACCTCTGGAAAGTCAGATAATGAAAGTGCTATCTCTAAAATCATGTCTATGACAAAGCTGAATAAGAATGGGGAAAGCGGACAACGTTGAAGAACACCACTTGAAGTAATCGATTTCGATGAAAGTTTTCTATAAGTTATGATTCTTCCATTAGTGTTCGAGTGGTGAGCCTGTACAGGGTTAATGTTCTCCTTTTTATGGCAGGTCTGATGAAACTTCCAGGATAAGTGAAGGAGTAAATGCATTCAACTAAATCATTCCCTAGTTTTGAAAGGATATTTTGTATTCAAAGAGAGAAACTCATCCAACATATGTATGCATTGTTGGTTAGTGAGATCATAAGACTCTGAATCTTATCAGCGTCTTCATTAAACAAGACTACATCACCTGTAGATTATAAGTCAATAAGTGAGTCTTCGGTTAGGGATTCAAAATACATGAACTTCAGGCCTCGTAACAAGTGTTGACTTGAAAACTACGGGTTGAAACTTAGTAGTTCAGCCACATTTTTAACTCCAGTCACATGACGATAAAGTTGAAATTGCAAATCAGACATGTAGTACTTCTTGGTTTCCAATAATTTTACATCTCATGGTTAGTCTGTAATAAAAGTTATCCTTAAATTTGAATATGTGAGATGAACTTTAGGAACTACAAATCTAATATGAAGTTTGCTTTATTGTCTACAAAATAAAACAGATTTTGCTTGTGGTTAAAAGTAGCAATGGAACTATTTGGAAAAGAAACCACTGTCACATATTACAGTTAATATATACAATAGACCTAGCCCAACAATTCAGAGGAAACTACTAGTAACAAGAAGCAAGAAGTGAATGGAGAATATACCATATACAATAAATAAATTCATAACTTACAAACTATGCATTTTTGGTCGACAAATCTCATTATTACCATCGTGATTATTCAATGTGATGTTTGATGACGGTGTAGATTTTTTCACGTGGGTTTTTAGATCGTCAACAATTTGATAAACATTTGTTGTTTTATTGATCGGCGTCATCGAAGTTTGAGCAGTATGTGTCGTATTTAAAGAGTCAATAGCTTGATAATACTCTGTTGAAAGAAAAAATGTAAACATAATGGAAAAGAACATGTAATTAAGTTCTACATCAAAAGTGTTCTGTAAAAGTTATGACCAATTATTGATAATTTAAGCAGACAGGTGTTCACAAATGCCTCTACCTTCTTGGTGATGGTAGTTTTCTAAGTTCCAGCTGCAATTAAATGTTTATAAATTTAGTGTTTCGTCATGTTAACAATTGAAGACGTTACAAACTAACGAATTTGTTGTTCGCATGTGAAAGTCTGAATTTATAATTATGTTTGCTAGAAGCCGATAATGAACTACCAAACATTATTTTAAGCACAAAAGATCATTAACCTGACTATTGAAAGCCGTCAGTAGGTCGATAATTTTATGAATTTTGATGATCAATTCACACACGCTTCTTAATATTAACATACTGGTATGAAGTGAATCGGTCAATAATATTATACTGAATATTGTATTTGGAACAAAACTTCAATAGGATCTATGCATTGAGTATTTGTATTTCATCTGAGGAAGAAAATATCCTCAAACTTGTGAGATTCTAAAGAGTTATCATAAATACGTTGACTGTTAAGAACTGTAAGTTGAGCAAACATGAAACAATATGGTTTAAAAGACATAAAGCGGTACACGACTATAACAATAAGTATCACACCTTTGTCCGTCTCGCAATAGACATCTAACTTATTCTCATGTTGCCTGTCAATGCGCGTCTCGGTAATTAGGTATTTAAAATTTTGTAACATGCAAGCTATTTTCAGTTCATTATCCACCAAATAATTAGCAACGACTGTGATCTAATGGTCAGAGCTTCCGAATTTTAAGCGTTGGGACGTAGGTTCGAAGCCAGCTATATCTACTTTGATTAGGAAGATCGGATATGGTCACTAGCCTGTACACCAAAAAATGGAATCCGAAAGCTGATTAGATAAAAAAAATGTATTGCCACACATCTACAATAATTTAGCAGGAATACAGAGATTTACATGGTTTATAGTTTACGCATTTACCAAAAAGTAATTCATGGAATATTAAACTGTAACGGGAGATTTTACTTACGAACTGGATTGAAAATAACTAATAAACGGAGGTTGAAAGTAACACTGATGACTGACGATAATGTAGATGATTTGGAATGATCCATCATAGTTTCATTGTCAATACCAGTTGAATAATGTGCAGTCGAAGGAGACAATGATCCACTGGTACCAGATACGAGTTTAGTATTTGATCTAGTCTTAATATTCATTGGACAACATGCGTTTATCATTGAATGAATTAATTGTATTACATCAGATGGTTTTAAATGTTCCACTGAACGACCATTCACTGATAATAATTGGTCAGCCCGACGTATTTGATCATGTACAAATGAAAAATTAGGAAGTACATGGGTTGTTGATGATGGTGGATAGCTTGAATCGCATGGTGATGATAACGATAATGAAGATGGATTAGTGAGATATTTTTGGTTTGTGTGTTCATCATAGCTTGTTTCAGAATTATTGTTTGGAACTAAAGTGTATACCTTAAGTGAACAGTCAAAAAATAAACGGTAAAAATACTTGACGACAAAAACTTACAGAAGTGTTGATTATATACTGCTTCAAATAAACAATGGATAACACATATTGAGCAGTAGTTTGAGGAGGCACAGATGCATTTAGGTAGACGACACAGAAGATGCTGCCATTTAACAATAGACATGTAAAACACTACTATTTTTTCCCATCTGTACATTGGATGGAAGTTGTACACAACAAGATTATACCCTTAACAGACAAATATGGACCAAAGAACTTTCCGTAAGCAAAAAAATCTCGTCGTCAAACACAATCACGATGAGCATGACAAAGAAAAAATTTTCAAAATGCAATAGTTATTTAGTCTTAGATCCGATGTTCACTAGCGAACTGAGAGAACAGTGAACACCAATGTATAGCTTTGGACTATTTATTTGCTACCGTATTAAATAAACCTTTGATAGAGCTTATGCTGCTGCGCTTTATCCTAGTCCCCAGAAATTCTTCAGTTTTAAACACCGAAAAGAAAAAAACGAAAGGCGAGGAGAATAAGAGTAGATTTGCTTTGAAGGTTAAGTTACTCACAGAATTATGGGAGACCTTGAGATTCTATAAACCTAAGCAAAAGCATATAGGGATTAACAGGAATCTTAGGAGTTTTGCAATAAGGTTGGAAAAGTATGATCACACGTTTAATATATTCTTCTAAGAGTTTTATAAAGAGCGCTTATTATCGAAGTATTTTCCATATTTTGCCCTGATGATAGAGAACTACTAAGGGAATTATCGGGGACGAAAAAGCATTTTAAAGATGAATGTTACACCCGTTTTTTTATTGTGCTACTGAATTAAGCTAACCAGAAATGTGGTCAAGCAACTTTTGGATGTGAAATCGAGTTTCATTTCCTTTTCATATCTTCGATACTTCGATTTTGTCCTAAACTTACATTCCATAACACGTATTTCTTATCTTGTTGCATAATTAATTTTTCATTGGCACGAATTGAAACAATAATTCCGATCGATACAAATATGTACTAGTCTAACGTTTTTCTGTGACTGACTAAGTTTGTAGGACGTTTAAACTTTTCTCTCTCTCTCTCTCCATATATATATATATATATATATATATATATATATATATATATATAAGTAGGTAATTAAATGGTCCATTGATAAATGCGTAACAGAAAAGGCCTTAAAAACAGATGAAAGCAAAATCACCCACTTGATGTATAAACACACCGAAACCATCATCACCACCAATCATTGTGAACGGTAGATCAATGAGAGAATTTATTGTATCATAATTATTGTTCAAGTGTTGTCCATTCGATGACAAAAATCCAGTACCATCATCGACTCCGAACGATTTATTATCTGGATGTAAATGACATGAACTTTTCAATGGAATTATAAGTTCGACTTGACGTGGACGAGCTTTGGTACTGCAGGCTAAACGAAACAAACGACGCTCACCAGCTGAAATGATAATGAAAACGAAGGGAATTTTTTCTCGAAATAAGAAGTAGAAATTCAACTGCAATATGAATACGACGGTATTGTACTTCCCAAAAGTTCGTTATCATTTTTCGTACGATTTATCAGTTAATGTTTTTTTCTATCCAAAATAACGTTGGGAAAAGATCGATGGAGAAGAGTATGCTCCCAAACCGATTAAAAGCTGTGATCTGAATATCTTATTCCGATTTTATGATCGGTATGTACTTCTGATCCTACGTTGTCTATCCCGATCTCCAAAGAACTACTTAGTTGATACGAGTTTGCAAAGGAAAATAGTATACCTAGTCATACTATTTTGAGCTTGTGTTTTTTCCGAAACTGAAAATCACACACATTACTTTCAGTTGAGGCTGAGAATTTTGTCCAAAATTCAATGAAAAAATCTCTAATTGAATTTAACGCTATTCATATATATGGATTTTTTCTTAAATTACGATTCTTCATCGCACAAAATGATTTTCAAGTGGTTGACATTGCATTTATTTTCTTGTACATCTAACTACGACGGTTTACTGGTTAAATGATAAACAGGCAGATGCATTGGTCGAAATTGTTAGAAAAAATTACGAAATGAAATCGATGTTTTCTTATAAGCTAGCATTATCTGTCCAAACGTTATCTATGCAAATCTAAACCAAGACGAACTAATACAAAAAATCTCCTATATAACTTCGATTTGATATGATTACTGTAATTCTGAATACTAATTCCATAGAATTATCCATACTTTAAAGTGACGTATATTTTCTCTAAAAAAAATATGAATCAGGCAAGATTAAGCAAAAATATATAATAGCTCCAGTTGACACAGTTCATATTAGCACAACAAGATTGAGTTAATAGGAAGAAAGGCTAATGACAACAAATAAAAGTACTAAGTCCAACACTTACAATAAAATAAGGAACGAACGAAACTGTATTACTGCAACGTGTTTTCAATCACATTATTTAAAGTTCCTATGCTCATACATTTCAACCTATAAGTCCGAAACATCCTACGTCGATGAGACCAATATTCAATAACATCATTAAATAACGCTGTTTTGATCATATACATCTTCTCTCTCATAATCTCTATATATTCAATCACTAAAGTTGAAACGCATTGATTTAGAACTGAAAAAAATAACTAAATTTTATTGTTTAACCAAAGTTATTCCATTGCTAAAAGGCAATCAGATCTAATCTGTGTATATCAAGATATTACAGGTTTATTTTTGTAACGATTTTATTCTGCTTAAATTATTTCATGCAAATTACGTAAGATAAAAATGTACAAATAAAAAAGTTCTGCATACAAATAATAGATTACCATGCCAATTTATATGAATTCAGTAAATTCTCTTCTCTAACATGAACACTAATCGGGTATCTCAACGTACATTACGTAGATAATTAAAGGTCAAAATTTATTTAACCATTAATGATCAGTTTAAAAATCCCCATAGAATATTCAAAAATGAACAATATTTGAGCGAACAATTGTTTTCAAAAACTTCATCATCAGGCTCTACAGTTATAAGTCCATAATTATTGTGATATTTTACAAAGGCCGAAATGAGGCATGTAATAATTAATTTGATAATGATCAATCGAAATAGTTTGATACTTAAGTACCAATAAAAATGATGGGTAAATGCACTAGATACACAGTTTGTTCGAATTTGAACCTTTTTCTTTCGTCATCTCCGCTTATGCCCCGACAGATTGCAGCCCGGATGCAATCAAGGATGAGTTTTACCATCAGTTAACAGTTCTTCTCCAGAAAGCGCGTTCGACAGATATTGTAGTACTAGCCGGAGACTTGAATGCGCAGGTCGGGCGTCTAGGCACAGAAGAGAGTCGTGAATGATCTGATTCAAAGGGGATAGATTAGTGGTGCGAATCAAAACAACGTAATATCCTGACCAATAAATCAAAAATCAGTATTATCAACCAGTAGATCACATAGCTGGAACTTCGCGACACCTACATTAGTGTTTGGAAAAAGGATATATCACTTGAATTCACCCAGAAGTAATGTGGCTTAAAGGCCAGACCAAATATGTGCTTAATAAATGAGTGGAAATAAGAAATGAAAATCACAAAATGAACAGTTTGTTGAGATAGATTGATGAATAACGCACTAAAAGTTGTCCGTTGGAAAACCACCAAGTGGAAACTCATGGTTATGATGTTATTTAGATTCACTAAGCTATACTAAGCCGGATGAGTTGATAGGTACTCCTAACTTTAGCTGAATGAATCGATAATCCAGTTAGTTTATTTGGACTAAGTAAGTGATAGCTGGAGATGAGCTGTGTTGTACGGCAGTACATGTTTAAGTTCATGTAAACCTTATGAAAAAGACCACCAACAACAACATCCAATAGTTTACATAATCAACTACTTCCAACATCATGCCCGACTCTGAATAGTATTTCTAAGGTCAAAGTTCAGAACACGATATCAATATTTACCATCAGTACAACGATATAACTAAATGGTTTGAAACTACTATACACTTGACAAATCAAATAGTTGTCAGAAATATTAACATGGAAAGATAATATACGAACAACAATTGATATAATTCATCTGTCAACGGGATATTATTTATTTATTGGAGTCAAATATAGAGGAATTAATCCTCTACAATATTATCCTGTTGGTTATGAGGAAGTAGACGGAGTGTCTTATGTCTTCTGGATGAACGCCACTTGTTATATCTGGTCGTCCCAAATTATTATGTCGGAATCGTTTATTACTTATACTTGTAAAAACGAGGGACTACTGCAATCCTCACGACGCGAAAGTAAGAACACAAAAACTGGCATAAGTGAAGATTTATTACCCCCAAAACATGACGACGACCTCAGCCGAAAATACACTCATTTATATATTGATTGTACATACATTTTGAATAATGATTAGGATGAAATCACATATATGAAAAATACTTATAGTTATAACTAATCATATGCTGAGTATAGTTCATGTTAACTTAATATAAGAATAAAGTATGGTAAACAGAATAAAAGATCACACTGAAAAACGAAAAAAAATACTACATTGAGTAATCATCACATTGAATTAAAACGGAAGTAATGTAGAACAAAAATTATAATGAGTAAATCAATCTAATTTGGACTTTTTTTCCCGTCATATCAGAATGAAAATCAAACCCATGAAATTACTTGATGCTTAAAAGATACCACATACCAGTAATAAAAATAGCCAGTAAGATTATCTGAACAATATTCTATTGATTGAATATGAAAAAAAATGCCATCCACATAGAAATATACACTCGCTTACCTGTGCATAGCATATTATCAAATTTTTCAATACACTTCATCATCTCATGATTATCCTCAAAATCATTAAAATGATTGTGAACCCATAATAAAATTATACGATTAACACGTGAACGTAACTTTGGATTATGCAAATGCCATGATAATAAACGATCAACTATTGGTCGGGGTGAATTTAAAAATGTACGGTATGTAAGTAGAAAATCTTCTGGATACGTTATATCTCCATTGGACAGATCAGCAATTAAATGTTCAATTAATTTTTCCGGTGTGCCCTAAAATAATTTCAACAAAGAAAAGCAGTGAAACATTGACTCGAAAACAAAATATCAGAAGAGATTGAATAATTGGGGTCTGTATGCGAATATACAATTAAAATAGAGTACTAATGAAAGCGTATATCAGAAGGGGTTTTCGTAGAGATCTTAGTAATTTTATAGTTGAATTTATGAGTCAATTGAAGCTAGACCACCATGGAAAACCTGGAAGCACTGGACGGCAGCTTCGTCTTATTGTGGGACTCCTCAGCAGTGCACATCCAAGATACCGCCTCGCGAGATTCGAACCCAAGACCTATCAGTCTCACAAGCGCACGTTTAACCACTAGACCACTGAGGAGCCGACATCCAACGGTGTTAATGTCTTATTTCAACCAATCCACGAAATTGAGCAACTGTCCATCATTGTCTTCAATGATTTACTATCTTGAGGATTGATTGAGGTTAGACATTAACACCGTTAGATGCCGGCTCGGTGGTCTAGGAATTGAGCGCTGGCGCGCGAGACTGATAGGTCCTGGGTTCGAATCTCGCAAGGAGGGATCGTGCATGCGCACTGCTGAGGAGTCCCACAATAAGACGAAGCTGTCGTCCAGTTCTTACAGGTTTTCCATGGTGGTCTAGCTTCAATTGACTCATGAATTCAACTATGGAAATGTATATTTTGTGGAAGATAGTGATTTAACTAAAGTCAAAAAAATACTGATTTAAAACCGACATTATTCATTACAAGTTGAGTATATTCAAGTATTTACATTAAACAAGAAATTTCGTAGTGAGTATACGTAATAATTTAACGACAGCTCCTACATAATTGATGGAATATTATGAACGTATTCTTAGAAAATGTGATAAACATTTTTACAACGTTCCGTAAAAGTAATGACGTACTAACATGTCTCTTCAAGAATAGCAGAAAAAATGCTTGATAAATATACTCTGTTTGTATACAGGAAGTCATCAACAAGTACATGATTTTAAATTGATACCTCTGTCGTTATCAAAAGTAAACAGTTAAGGCGAATGTTTATTCGGCCTGCTCACGTGACAGAGTGTGCGTTAGTACGCAACAATTATCTTGAAAGTGAATTGAGGGTTGATAACTAAGAATGCTTATCACCCCAATACTGCAATAAATTTAAATGTTGGATCAGTTTGTTACAAAATGGTGATTGATCGAATACATCATGAAGAAAACAGACACTAACTCAGTAGGTTTTCAAAAGTGATACAGCTAACATAATACATATGAACGGATGAGTAAAAGACCAAAGGCCTTTACTTTCGAATTGAACAATTTTTGTAATACAGTGAGATATCCATCATTTGAGTCAAATTTCGTGTACCTACTTACATTAATGTATGGTTGTGGATGCAGAATTTTGAGGAGTTAAACTAAGGTAAAACAGCTGCCTAATAACACTTCACTTCTACCCGAAGTTTGTCACAATTGATTGATCACTGGGTGGTGATCAATCTCATGCGTGTCAGGTCCTTAACGCTGATCGAATGCTATCGATCAAGTTGCAATGTGGCCACCAGTCTAGGTGGCTCGACACTGCGGGCACTATATATATATTAGGGTAACATGGTGGTTGACCACCTCCAACCACCATGTTACCCGAAGTTTGTGCTGATGATGTCGTTCAGAAGGACGATGAAAGCTCCACGACCAAACCATTCAGCTCAGAGGACAAACCAACATCAAAAAGCTGCCTTATACCCTCAGCCTTTTCAAATCATTTTCCACCTGTTAATTAATTGTAAATGTAAGCATAAATTCTAGTTAAAAGTAACGTTAACGAATTCCCTGAATTCATTGACCTTTTTTAAACAAAAAAACTTCAAAACAAACCTTTGTGACTAATCGACATTTTTTCAACAACACAGAATTATTGTCATTAGGTGTTTTATTCGAATCGATGTTAAGAGTTGTGTCTAAATTGATTGATTCATAGACAAGGACAACACGTCCACCTTCACCCATCTCTGGTATTTCAGCTTCTCCTTCACGACTCATAATCTTCACATAATCGGTTTGTGGTACACATAAAAAGTGACAGTCTTCAGTGACTGTACGCATTACACCATGATGAATACAATCTGTTTTACCAAGACGAACACCGAATGCATCACCACGAGTTAATTCCCGAATTGTGTCGTCTGGTTCAATAATCTGGAAAAAATAATTTTCAAAACAGGAGACAATAAATAGTTAACAAGGAAATGGGCAACGTTAAAGAGAGACTACAAAAATATGCTTTGACTTTAACTTTTATTAGCAAACATAATGTGAAACGACTCAAATAGACAACTCGTTATTACTGAAAGAAATAATATATATGCTTTGATACTCCTATAGGACACAAATTCAATGGATGTTTTGTACACAGAATAACCCTTTAATGCGCAATGCAAGCTATGATCAATAAAGGTGAGTGAGTGGATAAATGGTCAATATCCGTATACTGTATTTTCCTAAACTTGTCGAATTTATTGAAAAAAATACAGAAGTAGTGTACTCAGGTTTGAACTACACTTCCTTTTTGTGAGAACTAGTGATGGTGCCTGTCTGCCTAAACTGCAGTAGGCGTAGCGATATTTGAACTGGTAATAATAAGCAATAAATAATGAAAACATGCAATTGCTTGTTATTACAAAGCAACCAGGCTTACTCGATATACACAGTGTTAGGAAAAGTGTTGATAATTTTTGGTGTTATTTTTTTTGGTTGTTATTTTTTGTTTCATGTGTTTAATTTAGAAATATTGCGGTAACTATCGTATTGAAATGTATATCGAAAAGCGATATAGGTGTGTGCTCGTACAACATAATAGAAAAGAAAATGCAAAATTATCAACTAACCTCGACAGTTCCATTCAGTACAACAGACCAAGTGTCCAATACTTCATTATCATTTAATACGATTTGACCAGCTTCACGAATAATGGCTAGCACCATGACTGAGCATAGGGAACGACATGTAGCTCTAGTGAGATTAGAGAAAGCCTAAAATATACATATACATGAAAAAATAAAGAAGTAACAAACAATTTCACTGAACAAGATGGACATTGACAAACCAATGTGGTGGCAACAGACTGAGATTATCAATACTAGCTAACATAAATATTCAGAAAATCTGAGGTTCTTCCACTATGAACTACAGGTTATCACTCTGTATATGAATTCCGATAATGGAATGATGATAATATTATGAAAATCCCTAATAATTTATTTGTTAACACGGTTGCTCGTTAGGAGCATAAACTGTTGACCGGGAATAGCTAACGAAATCTGTCTTGAGCACCCCTTTTCAGCTGTTCCTATGTACAACCCACTCTCTTGACGTGTGAATCCGATTTTTGACACCAAGTGTTTTTATACTGCCTCTTATCATTTATCTAACTCCGCCTGTAGCTCCTCCGGGGGCTACTGCCGGTCACAAGCCCGGGTAAAGGAGGAGGGTTGGGCATGGGGTTAGCCACCCCATCCCATAGAAAACCAACTCGCTAAAAAACGCTAACCAGAAAAACAATTATTCAAACCACTTAAACTCTGCCCTGGGAGTAGAAGGAATAATTATGACGTCTCATGATGAAAGCCGAGTTCCTTCGGAAGTCATGAGGCCGATGCACCTTCTAACAACCAGAGCAACAATTTTCATAGGTACATGGAATGTCCGTACAATGTGGGAGACCGGAAGAGTCTTCCAAATTGCTGCAGAAATGAGAAAATACAATCTGGAGGTGCTTCGAATCAGTGAAACACATTGGACGCAGGTTGGACAACAACGACTATCTTCAGGGGAAGTTCTGTTATACTCCGGTCATGAAGAAGAAAATACCCCACATACACAGAGTTGCATTGATGCTGTCCAGAAAAGCACAAAATGCACTTATTGGATGGGAATCTCATGGACCAAGGATCATCAAAGTTTCCTTTAAAACAGAGAGAGGGCATTACAATGAACGTCATCCAATGTTATGCGCCGACCAACGACTACGATGAAGACACTAAAGACCAATTCTACGATGGGCTGCAGTCGATCTTCGAGAAGTGCCCAACCAAGGACCTGACCATTCTGATGGGAGATATCAATGCCAAGGTTGGAATGGACAACACTCGATACGGAGACATAATGGGACGATATGGACTGGAAGAAAGGAACGAAAATGTTGAGAGATTTGCAAACCTATGTGCCTTCAATAAACTGGTCATAGGTGGCACCATATTCCCACACAAAAACATACACAAAGCCACTTGGATTTCACCGGATCACGCTACACAAAATCAAATCGACCATATCTGCATCAACAAAAAGTTCGGGAGGACGATGGAGGATGTGAGAATCAGAAGAGGAGCTGATATAGCATCCGATCATCATTTGCTGGTCTCCAAGATGAAACTAAAACTCAAGAAGCACTGGACAACGGTGAGGACAACATCACACTCACTTGAAATTCCAAGGGCCAAAGGAGAAAAGGAAGACCAAAGAACACATTACGCCGAAAAACGGAGACAGACATGAAAAGAATGAACAAAAACTGGATAGAACTAGAAGGGAAGGCCCAGGACAGAGTGGGTTGGAGAATGCTGGTCGGCGGCCTATGCTCCATTGGGAGTAACAGGCGTAAGTAAGTAAGTTATCATTTATCTGTGAGGATTCCAAAAAACGATTTATTTTGTGATGCAGTTTGATGGTTTTCGCAGTATGTTTCATCCACTTGCAGCGTCTTTTTTATTTTTTCCTCAGACGGCATCTAGTCTATTATCAATGGACGTGGAATATTTTAAGCACACACGTGTTTACAAATGCCTCAACCTTCTTGGTGATGTTGATGGTAGTTTTCTAAGTTTCAGCTCCAAATAATAAGACCATTTTTATGGTTGTGTTGAAAATTCTGACAGTCGTTATGAATGACAGTTTTTTTTAATACCAGATATTCTTAAACTGTAGAAACGTTGCCTTGTCTTGCCAAATAGTCCCTTTACATATGCATACGATCATTGTTGTTTATCAATAATAGTACTCAGATATGGAAAGGCTCCCACCACATTCAAAATTTTATCATCAAGTGTGATTTTGTTGGTACTTGCTGTGTTGCAATTTAGGATTCTGTTTTACTCCTTTTGAATGTTAAGACTTACTGCTGAGAAGGCCACTAGCTTTGTCTGCATTTGTTGTTGTGCATGGGATAGAAGGACTAAGTCATCTGCTTCCAGACATTATATTCCTGACTAGCGTTATTACTACTTATGTAGACATAAGTAGCACATACCACAATACAAAACTAATAGTTGATACACAGTAGAAATAAGATAGAAACATCATTTCTTCAGCCCATCCCTTCATTACTTTAGCTAACAGAATCCAGAAATCCCCTCTAACGTCTGAGAACATGAATACTGTAACATGAAGGACTCTTAATATCACAATGTAAAGTGGTTGACATAAAAAGCTACGGATGATCTGAATGACTGAGACATTGAGTAGTGCGTTTGTGAGAATACAGGTTGGTGGATCTTTGAGAGTCGGTGATAATTATCAATCAATAAGCCCAAATAAACAACTGAGCATCGACGATATGCTAGAATGTTGGACAGAAATCTATTTTCAAACTTCTTTCCGACCAATGGCTTTTAAATTACAAGTCAAACAGGTGTTAGGATTTTCTGTAAAACCAGTTTGATGTGTTCTTGTTATACGTATACAGTAAACCATTTAAGATGGACATAATTACATTATGTTGTACGAGACAATAGTATTGATGAAGAATAGCTAAGAGATAGATTTGGCAAGCGTGTAAAAAGAAGTACTAGTTTCTTATACTTACAGGCAATTGTTCAACATTTTCCAACAATAAATCAACATCTTCTTGTGTACGATCTGTTGGGAGTTTAAGAATAGATTCCCAAAATGCATCACGAATAGACTGTTTTATAAGAAATCAAGTTATGAAACAAAAGCAGTAAAATTATGTAATACATGAATAAAAGGTTATGATAAGTGTTAAAAATTGAGATTCAGTTATCTAACACTTGCAAGTTGTACGCGACTACAGGAGATGTTGTTTTAGTACGAGATTATCGAACAGTGTGCACCTACAACTCAAAACCTTAAGAAGTAATTACTGTGTTGACGATGGGACAATGAATTGATGCTGGGATTTTCATAGGTACTCCCTAATTTAGTTGTCCAACCAACGTGACTTCAGCAACTAATGCATTAGAAAAAAATACATAGACTAATGCATAACTAATGGTGTAATGGTTATGAAAGGTTTTAATTTCAAACAAACACGTAGAATATTTAAGATCGAGATTAACAAGATTACAAATCAAAAACAAAGCACAAATGAGAACAACCGTTAAGTGATCCAATGGTGAATGTTGATTGGTTAATATATTGACACACAAATGTGTGGCCGAGAATGATAATGATTGGTTGTCTGCTTAGTCAGGAATGTAGATAGCCTACCAGGTGTTAGATGTGTTATATATTCCTCTATCCTTATTACGTATTATGATTATTATTGAATGATTGTTCATTGTTGTTGGGTTGTGTCGTGTTTGGGTGTGGAAATATATATGAGTTCTAGGCAGGCTAATCACGTGTTTATGATCTGAGTTGTGTTGAAGTCCTGTAGAGTAGACACTGCGTGGGGAATCTAGTCTAGATATTCATCTAAGGTAAATTAACGACCCACATACGTGTAAAAGGAAAAGGACCGTTATAACACACACATCATTAAATAACGGCTGTAAACCAAAGACGACAGTTTTCAATTTCTGTATTGAGTATTGTTACAGGGTCCAGTTTCTTAATCTGTGATAGGTACAACATTACAGCAATAAATCATTAAAGACAACCGTAAAATAATACCTCAAACAGGTCATGAAGAGTAACTAGTCTTGTACAAAACAGCTTTTGGAAAACGGAATAAATAGTTGACGATTGACAATAAAGAAAAAAATGACAATAAAGTGATAGTGAAACTGATAGAAGATAGGTTGATGATGAAAGTTTGATGAGAAAACATGAGAATTTGGAGTGGGAAACTGAGGTCACTATTGATCAGTGAAGATCAGATATTTAGTAGGTCAGATAGCGTAAAAAATTTGCACAATATTTTTCAGAGGTGATAGGGCCCCCAAATACCCTGGTACGACCGAGGGTGGAGAGATTCTGTTCTCTCCCTCAAAATGTCCTCACATAGCCACGCGTATACAGCCACTGTCAGGGAAGTCCTACTAACTGCTTTCACGGGGTGGGCGTGTTGTTTACGAAATTGAGAGGACGAAAAGCAAATGTCCGGGAAAACGGAAAGTTACAACCAGAAAAATACGTTCAGTTGGAGAAGTCGCGTCCATTTCTTATGAAGTAAGTAAAAGAAGGTTACGACAGGATCGCCAATGACTTCTCATATGAGACATATCGCTAAATAACTAAACTATTCGTATCCATGTTCCCTTTATCATGGGCTTTATTTTGAACTATAAACTATTATTAAACGATTTACCTTTCTTGAGTTATCCCAAGTCTATTAATTACTGCCTCCCACATTCACAGCCACATTTGGCTAAATCTTGTACAAATGTTATTTCCTATTTTATTGGTACGATGTGGTCAGTCTGTTTGGTATATAAACCCAGTATGTTTGAAATACAAGGATTCATACTGCAAAGGCTGTTAATGGTGTTCTGAACTTAACTGACTGGGCTAGGTAGAAGCAGAACCGATAACCACTCTAGACTGCTCGTACGGTTTTCGTGTGTCACTGTTCCAATCGACAATTCGCTGCTCTCTGATTGACGGTCTTATCCCGTCTAAATAAACTGGGCATCCACTCGGTCACAAGTTATAACAACAACGATGATCAAACACAGAGAGTCGTCTAACATCCTCGACTCGAAAAGGCCAATTTCCACAAGCACAGAGCAAAACTGCTCTCACAGACACGTTGTATATCCAACCTTTTACAGCCAGACTAACATCACGAAGGCGCCAAAGATGGCCCAGATTGGCATAAGCCGCTCTGGCTTGAATTTTACGTGCATATATCTCATCACTTACTCCACCACTAGCACTTATGAAGCTACCTAGATACACGAATTTCTCAACTACTTCAATCTGCTCACCATCCAGGGAAAGTGAAGGATCAGGGTCCTTCCAGTCATGTAAAAGTATTTTACACTTCGAAGGTGCAAAGCACATACCATACCTACGGACACTAATTGCTAACTGATTAAGTGCAGATCGCATGCCTTGGGCATTATCGCACAGTAAGAAAATATCATCCGCATAATCAAAGTCGAGAAGTCTTTCTCCAGGCAGCAGATCCACACCGCCATTACTTACATCCATCAGAGCTGTTTCCAGAATGTCGTCGATGGCAAAGTTGAAGAGGAATGGTGAGATTGGGCAGTCCTGTCTAAAACCAATGCTCGAATGGAACAAGGGAGAAAGATGGTTGTATGCCTTCATTCTGTTTGAAGTGTTTGTATACAGGGCCTTTAAGATGTTAATAAACTTTTCAGGCACACCCTTCTTCAATACATAATCCCAGAGAACAGTCCTGTCCAACGAGTCGAAGGCAGCCCTGGTATAACGAAACACTAAGATTGTTGGCACGCGATAAGTATGACGGTGTTCTAACGTTTGGCGGAGGATGGATATATGATCAATGAAACCTCGACCAGAACGAAAACCAGCCTGCTCCTCGCCAGTCAATCGTTCTCGGGTTTTAAACAACCTACGAAGAATGACAGAAGCCAATATTTTGGACGCAATCGGAAGCAGACTTATTTCCCGATAGTTCTTACAGGAACAACGTGAACCCTTTTTAAAGATAGGGACGACTATCGACTCATTCCATGATGTTGGGACACTTTCTAGCTCCCAGATCTTTGCAAACAACACAGTCTGTTCCTTAGTCAGAAGGTCATCACCATCTTTAAAAAGAGCCAGAGGTAAGTCATGTGGGCCCTGTGATTTGTAGTGTTTCAACAGTTGGGGTTCCTAGCGGACATCCGCCTCATTCGGTGGAGCAGTCGTCACAGGCCATGGACGGCAGGACAGTCTGATCGATGTTGCCGGAGCAGCAGACCAGTTGAACTGCCCTTCGAAGAATTCCGCCCATCGTCCAAGACGTCGACAGATGTTAGTGATTGGCATCCCGTTATCCTCACAGATTGTTTCACTCACACCAGACTTCTTGCTGCCAGTGGCTCGGATGAGTTGGAAGAGCTTCCGGCAGTTATCAGATGCAGTTGCTGCTTCCATCTCATTAGCACGCTCCGACCACCAGGCTTCTCGGTCCTTACGCAAGCTTTGCTTAATTTCATTACGTAACAGCCTTCGTTTGTGGTCATACTCACGGTCACCCGGAGTAGACCGACGGGCTTCGATCAGTTGTAAGGAGCCAGAAGAAACCCAGTTCTTATAAGCAGGACGTTTCGCGAAGCCACAAGCGACTTTACTCGCCATTTTCATGGCGTCATGCAGTTGCAACCAATGCTCATCTATACTTCCCAGTGGAATAGCAACTAGCCTTGAACCTAACACGATTTGATGTTTAGTTGCAACAGAATCTGCAACCAATTCACTGACATCAATCCGTTGGTGGCGGTCAATTCTCCAGCCACTGAGAAGTAAGGTAAGATTGGCGCAGACCAGGGCATGATCAGACTCCAGATAGGTACTCCAAAAGGAGCGGCAGTCTTGTACACAACCACGCCAGCGGTAGTTGATCGCGATGTGATCAATCTGAGTCCAGGCATGGGATGCAGAGGGAGGACGCCAGGTGGCACACCGGCGATGACTATGCCGGAAGTTAGTGCTAGCCAGAAACAAGTTGTAGTTTGTACATAGTTGCAGTAGACGGTCCCCGTTATCTGTCCTGCGACCAACAAGTCCCCATCGGCCACCTAAACGACTCTCTTCTAAGCCGAGACGCCCGACTTGTGTGTTCAAGTCTCCGGCTAGTACTACAATATCTGTTGAACGCGCTTTCTAGAGAAGAACTGTTAATTGGTGGTAAAACTCATCCTTGATTGCATTCGGGATGCAATTTGTTGAAGCATAGACGGAGATGACTAGAAGACATCATTTCTCACGCCGATTTCTTCTCACTTTGATGGAGCTTTCTAATATAACAGCACATAACCGACTGTTAATGGGGATCCAATCGATTGGTGCTGCCTCAGCTCTAGCGCTTAGTGCGACACCAACGCCAGCGGGACCAGACGAGAATGCCACAGGGTCCCCGAATAAACGCACGTGAAACAAACTTTCCAAAGCGACAAATAGAGAGCGAATTTGTAGTACTTCACTACAGTCTTGAATACGGGTCTCGGATAGACAACAGACGTCAATATTAAGACTTCCTAAAGACATAGCCAGCTCTATCTGTTGTCCGATCTGCATTAGCGTGTGAACGTTAAAGGAAGCCAGTTTTAATGATGAATGTGGTTTCAGAAAGACTGGTTCAGTATTCGTAATCGGTGGAAGCATTCACTTTCGATCAGTCAGTGACTTGAGATCGTTTAAATAGAACAGAGTTTCCACCATAAGCGAGCTGTTGTATAAGTTGAAAAACAATGATGCAGAAAGTGCGAATAAAAGAGAGTGAATAAGTGACGTAGTTAAAATAATGATAATAATAATGTGAATTGTTTGACTTTTAATCGAAGCGTGAATAGTATTTTCAGTAATTATCGTCATTTTATTTGTGTGTGGGCTGTGATACTGCACAGGTGCCCAAACCGAAGCAGGTGGTTTTCTTAGGGAGCCACAGCCCGAGCTTTTAACCTAAAGGTCTGAATCACAAGGCAGTGGAGCATCGTGAGGAGATGCAGTCCCATGGCAGCCGGTGGCCAACAATTGGTTCATACGCCATTTGTTCCCGCAGGATTCTGGAGCCCATATGCACCATTGGTTTGGAATCAGGGTTTTCCAACTCCCCTAAGTGGACTTTCCGTTTCCACCAACCCGGTTAAAGCACCGGACATTTGTTTTTCATTCTCTTAATTTCGTAAACAAGAACCCTGCCACGAGGAGGCAGTGAACTAGCTACCATAGGACTGAATCTCCCAACATTGCTTCACTGTCTTGTGGATCAGGCCTTTAGGTCAAAGGCTCGGGGTGTGGTCCTTTAAGAAAACCACCTGCTTCGGTTTGAGCACTCGGGTAGTATTCAAGTCCGCACACAAATCGAACGACGAATTGTGGAGCATACATATTTGGTGCCTCCTTGTACCAATATTTATGTATTTAAGTAAACAAATAAATCCACACATGTAAAGAACTCTAAGATCAGGAAGTATCTAAAGAAATGCATATCACGGACTAAATGGATTACAAGTAGTTGGAATATATGCTAGAGGAAATCCAGAAACAAAGCCGGATAAGCACACTTTGAAATTAAAAACAGTACAAACCTCATGACTACTTGATTCAAGTTCTTCATCCTCCACCTCCTCCTCCTCCTCCTCATCATCATCATCATCATCGTCAACATTATTATTATTATCATCATTATCACCTTCAGAATCTATACAATGACTGTTGTCTGATCCAGTCTTATACCATTTAGGATAGTTATAACCTATCTTTTTGTTAAGTTTTTCTGGCGATTTTAAAACGCACGAATGAGATGAACGTGCATGACTTGAATCATTTTGAACGCCTCCAGAACTAAAAGAGTGAGTAGATGATGTGTCACTTAAATATAATGATTTCAATGAATTAATAGCATCAGCCTTCTGTGTACTTCTGATAGCTTGTCTATGGTCCTTACTTTGGTCAGAATTTAGCAAAGATGAGATTTTTAATGACGAGCTGATACTATGAGACGATTCTGAATAACGATCATTTGATAAAATTTCACGTGAAGTATTATTATCATTATTATTGAATGAGACCGGTGTACGATCTAAAGAATGCTAATAAAAAAGTTATTAAAATGATTAAATAAATGTTGAGTACATTTCGAGTAAGAAATAGTTAATAAATATTACAAACTAGACACAAGCTGTATGGACAATAAATAATAACCAAGTATTCATAACATGCATTTTCAGCGATACTTCAGAGTTATGCCAAAGTTTAATCATTCGAAATCAGTGAAAATAATTCTCAAATACAATGTAACTCATTTAATCAAATACAGATTAGTGGTACTGTAGTGAACAAGAACACGAGTGGGGACAACCGAATGTATGAAGCACAAAATTACAGAATATCTCACTAAAATATGAGAACCATACAGTAAATTTGCAAATTATCAATCAATTGTCTCAATCTTGATCGTTCCTTCTGCAAATGTCAGTCCATAGTCTCCGACTATTATTGTTCATGCCTTTTCATACCAATCGTGTTTCATTCCCGTTCTTTCGTTATCGATCTTCTATTAAAATACACTCAATGCCCGACCATCGTTATATACTACTAATGTGGATATAAGTAACCCACACCATATTACTATTTGGCTTTGAGATACACTGTTTCCATGTGTTCATATGATGGCTAGCGATACTATTACTTATTTGGCTGAAAAAATTACGTATTTGTGGAGTCGAAATAGTATTCGTACGTGAAATATGAACACTCCCAACCATTGTTTAGCAATTAGCAAAGAAATTACCAGTATACAGTATCATAAAAGCATAAAAATTTGTACGATAAAATATGTGGAGCAGTAGCTTAATGATTAAGGCTTTCGAATTTCGGTCACCCGATTTCAGATTAGAACTGCGCTACAGCCACTTTGATTCGTTTAATCGCGTAGTATCACTAGCCTCATGAAACTAAAAGTGGATTGAGGTCAAGTACACGGATCCCTGTACCTGATGAATAAATTAATAAAAACCGCTAATAACTTGAATAACACGTTATTTAAAATTTGAATGAACCATAAACTTCATAATAATAACAACTGTTACAGAATCAATATAAAAATTAACACGTTGTAAAATCTAATGTGATTCCGAAAAAAGTATTACCTTTTGCTGGTAATATATTCCTAAAATTATGAAGTTATAAGTAAAAATTGATTTGTGAAGAGAATTAATCACAGAGAGAAGTCGTCATCGCTTTGGCTTATAAACAGTAGGTGATATTACACAAATGGCTGAGTTAAGTCGAGATAAGCCAAGTACCTAAACTGACAAGTCATATAAATTATCCAAAAAGAACAACAGATGAAATATAAAGATACGAGATGAATGTAATCAATCAAAATTTATCACGAAGGTTATTAACATTAGCATGCTAATCAACCCAATCAACATAAGACTAATCACCGTATGTGAGTCAAGTAGAAGTGATATGACTAGTGATATTACTGAGTTTCCCAAAGTGAAGTAGCTAGAGTGGGTTCAAGAAGGCGGTCTATTGGGTGAAGGCTGGGAGAATTAAGTACCAAATCACCTACTAAAAGCACTGAGATATATCGTTTTCAGTATGGGGTTGTAGAGATTGTTAATTTTTTGATTGAGATCACGAATCGATTGATGTTAGACCACCTTTGAAAACCGGGAAGCACTGGACGACCGTTTCGTTCTAGTATGAGACTCCAAAGCAGTGCGCATCCAAGGTCCTGATCGTGAGATCCCAACTCATGATCTTCCGTCTTACGCGCAAACACTTAACCTTTAGACCACTGAGCTGGTATCCAAAGGTGTTAATGTCTAGCTTCAACCAATCCACGAAATCGTGCGACCATCTTCCATTGTTTGAGGTAGATAACATTTTCTACATGACATGGATTGTCTCCACTGGTCACAGCTTCTCACTAGAACTCTGAGAATGACCTCTCGAAGCTAGTCACTAGTGAACACATGGTAATTATCAGTTTGGTGTTGTTGAGATTGTTGGTCGCGCAATTTTGTGGATTGGTTGAAGCTAGACATTAACACCTTTGGATACCAGCTCAATGGTCTAAAGGTTAAGTGTTTGCGCGTAAGACGGAAGATCATGAGTTGGGATCTCACGATCAGGACCTTGGATGCGCACTGCTTTGGAGTCTCATACTAGAACGAAACGGTCGTCCAGTGCTTCCCGGTTTTCAAAGGTGGTCTAACATCAATCGGTTCATGATCTCAATCAAACAAATATGTTGTTTTAGTATTGTGGACGATCATAACACATCCAAATGAGAAAATTGTAAAAACCTGGTAACATAAGAACACAAAGTTTATCCAAGAATTTTCAGACACGACAGTAAAACTAATGTAAGTGAACAGGTTCGAGAGAGATGATATAAATCTCACAATTTGTATCATTCAAAGTAAATGATTCATGAAAAAGTACAAAACTTAATGAAACTTACTCTATGCTTGTACGGACCCACTGCCAGACGATGCGTATCAGTAAACGATATGGGTAGACTATGATTGTCCAAATAATCGATCTTTAGTAAAATAAAAATATAAAACAATTTTTAAACATTGAATGAGGATGCATATGATGACAGCAATTATGTAGTTAGGGCGTTAAATTTTTAGACAGAACATAAGACTTCTTCATACAAACACTTTGATCTAACAGAGATGACTTATCCATGAAGTATGAAGAAGAAACTTATGCTTAGCTAATTATTTGCTTATTATCATTAAAACCAATGCAGCACAGCTTTTCCCTAACGAGATCATTATTAGAAACCTAGAAACAGATCATTTGGCTATATATGAACAAACAATGAAGTAATCATTCTTAAGATTTAGAAATGATTTTACTGTTATCTACAAACAAACAATGATTCGATTCCATTTGAAACAAAGGAGGTAACAACCAAATGAAATCGGTTTACTGTAGTTGATACAATGAATTGTATTAACTGAAGGGAGCACTATATAAAAGAAAAAAAGATTAATAGATTGATGGTAAGATAACTGAGAACAAAAAAAACAGGTAGATATTGTTGTGGCTTTACAAAAGGCCGTCTCCGATTCGTTATGACTCTATAAAAAATAGGACGTATGCCAATTTGTTGTGATTTTATGTCCGGCTTTTTATCACGTGAATTATCCACCAATCGAAATACGACTTGTCTAATATTAACACTGTGCCAAATCAATGACGTTCAACTGGTATGAGCAGTCTAGCGTCCTTATTGGTCCCGTGTCCGCCTAGCCCTTCCAAATGAGTGCAGAACACCAATTGCAGCTTCTGCTATGCGAATCATTTATTTCAAACATACTCGGTTTATATACCAGACAGACAGACAGACCGCATCACGCCATAAAATAGAAAATAATATTTGTACAAGATCAAGCCAAATGTAGCTGTGAATGTGGGATACAATAATCAATAAACTGAATATAATTTAGGAACAGTAAATCGTATAATAATAATTCATAGGTCAAAATCAAGCTTATAATAAGATAAATATAGATATACACAATCTAATTACCCTATTTATTTATTTAAACACATAAATATTGGTACAAGGAAGCACCAGATATATATGCGCAGCACAAATCATATTCAATTTGCTTGAGGGCTGTGATACTGCACAGGTGCCCAAACCGAAGCAGGTGGTTTTCTTAGGAGGCCACACCCCGAGCCTTTGACCTAAAGATCTGATCCACAAGGCAGTGGAGCATCGTGAGATGCAGTCCCATGGTAGCCGGTGATCAACGATTGATTCGTACGCCATTTGTTCCTTCAGGATACTGGAGCCCATGTGCATCATTGGTTTGGAATCAGGGTTCTCCAACACCCCTAGGTGGACTCGCCTTGTCCACCAACCTGGTTAAAGCGTCGAACATTCGTTTTTCGTCCTCTCAATTTCGTAAACAACACCCCAGCCACGAGAAGGCAGTGAGTAGGACTTCCCTGTCAGAGGCTATATATTCTCGGCCGTACCAGGGCATATATACAGAATAATCGTCCATTAATAGCTCCCGGAAATTACCCGTACTTATGTCTTCGCTAGGATATAACAGAAATAGCAATAGGAAAGCCATAGTATTTCTAGGAACTTGCCACCTAAGTCGATTTGCAATTAGGAGACATGTCGATAAATTGAACAAATATGAATCAATCAAATAGTCATCAAACAACAAGTCAATCAGATTGCAGATACAGTAGAAAGTGATAAATATTTTGAAGCAAACAGATAACAAATAAGGCCGCTATAATGGAATGATTTAGTAATTTTAGAATAAATTATAAAAATGTAACTCCCGATTCACATCTATACAATTTTAAACCAAAGAATAATCAGCATATTTGTAAGTAAAATGTCCTCAAATGTCAAGCATTTTTCCACCAGAAACGTTTCCTCTAATATTGAAAAAGCAATAACTGTACATCATTTCAGTAGAATCTACGTCACTAAAAGTACGGAGAAATGTAATAATATGTTCGCTTAATAATGTGAAAGAAGTTTATTCTTTTTATTATCAATATTACCATTAGTATTATTATTACCACTGTTGAAATTGTTATTATCAACCACCAATTATTACTATTACGAAAAAGCACATCCATTTCATAAAGAAGAATGCATGTAACGATCCTTCTGGAAGTACCATATAAAGTTCATAAATGCAAAGCAGACTTGTATGATTATGTACGCTCTAGATAAATTGACAATTTCTGTTGAATAAACCCGTTTTTTAAACGTGAAATTTTTAAGACGCCGATCAGCGAAGCTGTTCGTTGTTAACGTTTGTCATTATTTTCTTTCCATGAAATTGTGATAATTTGTCTTATAGAACTAAGTAGAAACTAACATACCAAAAATAAAAATGAATTTATTTGTCACCAACCAGTCAACAAAATATATCTTATATAACGACATTTTTATAAAAACTTATGTGGATAGTTATGATAAATTTATACAAACGATGAATCCGGAACTACTGAAAAATGTTGTATTTTTCAAAACATTGATCAGGGTTAGGTAAAAAAAATTATTCAAACATCCATTTAGAAATTTTTAAACCTCATGTTTGTAAAGGGCATCCTGAATGGCTGATTCTCAAAGACAATAATTTTTCTAAAACCACCCATGCGATTCACGCTGAAATGTTTTCGGCCAGAATTACAATAAACTTTCTGAGTTATCTTTGATTTGACCAGGTTGAAAGATCGCTGTGGATAGTGGCAACTTATGCTGCGTTACTGTGTCAAGTATTCAAACTGAGTAGCAGTCAGATTAGCTGTGAAGGTAATTTATACGTCCGAATTACCACATATGACTGTAAGGGTGTTGATATTAATTATCAAACTACGCAAACCCTGCCAAAAGTAATAAATTCGAGAAATGGACTAACTGATTGAAAGTTGACTGCAGTGATTGATAATTTAATTTCAATAGATAGATTTAGACATCATTTCAAATGGAGACACAGATGGAATTTAAGGTGATAAGCTGATAAAAATACAGGAAAAGAAAACAAAAATGATAGCTCACCACAACAAGATCAGATGGTTCGAGGACAAGACAGTCATTACGGCGATAAAAATTTCCATTTGTACGGGTCCCAAAACTGTGAATAAAGAACACCAAAAGCTAACTATATATATATATAAGTCGCTGAAAAATTCCCATCATATTAAAACACAATTATATGAACAAAGAATATTCTTTTCAATAATTTCTCATCAGGTTCTACGATTATATCCTAAACTTATTTTGTTTACACATCATACTTACTTACTTACGCCTGTTACTCCCAATGGAGCATAGGCCGCCGACCAGCATTCTCCAACCCACTCTGTCCTGGGCCTTCCCTTCTAGTTCTATCCAGTTTTTGTTCATTCTTTTCATGTCTGTCTCCGTTTTTCGGCGTAATGTGTTCTTTGGTCTTCCTTTTCTCCTTTGGCCCTTGGAATTTCAAGTGAGTGTGATGTTGTCCTCACCGTTGTCCAGTGCTTCTTGAGTTTTAGTTTCATCTTGGAGACCAGCAAATGATGATCGGATGCTATATCAGCTCCTCTTCTGATTCTCACATCCTCCATCGTCCTCCCGAACTTTTTGTTGATGCAGATATGGTCGATTTGATTTTGTGTAGCGTGATCCGGTGAAATCCAAGTGGCTTTGTGTATGTTTTTGTGTGGGAATATGGTGCCACCTATGACCAGTTTATTGAAGGCACATAGGTTTGCAAATCTCTCAACATTTTCGTTCCTTTCTTCCAGTCCATATCGTCCCATTATGTCTCCGTATCGAGTGTTGTCCATTCCAACCTTGGCATTGATATCTCCCATCAGAATGGTCAGGTCCTTGGTTGGGCACTTCTCGAAGATCGACTGCAGCCCATCGTAGAATTGGTCTTTAGTGTCTTCATCGTAGTCGTTGGTCGGCGCATAACATTGGATGACGTTCATTGTAATGCCCTCTCTCTGTTTTAAAGGAAACTTTGATGATCCTTGGTCCATGAGATTCCCATCCAATAAGTGCATTTTGTGCTTTTCTGGACAGCATCAATGCAACTCTGTGTATGTGGGGTATTTTCTTCTTCATGACCGGAGTATAACAGAACTTCCCCTGAAGATAGTCGTTGTTGTCCAACCTGCGTCCAATGTGTTTCACTGATTCGAAGCACCTCCAGATTGTATTTTCTCATTTCTGCAGCAATTTGGAAGACTCTTCCGGTCTCCCACATTGTACGGACATTCCATGTACCTATGAAAATTGTTGCTCTGGTTGTTAGAAGGTGCATCGGCCTCATGACTTCCGAAGGAACTCGGCTTTCATCATGAGACGTCATAATTATTCCTTCTACTCCCAGGGCAGAGTTTAAGTGGTTTGAATAATTGTTTTTCTGGTTAGCGTTTTTTAGCGAGTTGGTTTTCTATGGGATGGGGTGGCTAACCCCATGCCCAACCCTCCTCCTTTACCCGGGCTTGTGACCGGCAGTAGCCCCCGGAGGAGCTACAGGCGGAGTTCTACACATCTTACCAGTCATGATTATTGCTATTATTATCACACTTGCTAACCTCTTAGAAGCTTGAACAACAACAACAACAAACACAAGCATAAAAATGTCCTTGGGAAACATCACAATGACATTCAAGGTCCTTCCAGGTGGGCATGAAGGTGAAAATGAATGCTTTTGGCGAGAAAACAAGAAATTAGAATTTTTAAAATAGAATTAAAAAAATAATGCATTTACCAACTGAATTTTGGGAACTCATCATCCCAAACAAGACTTATGATGTTATGGATAATTAAACCAATTAGTAAATGGTTATTATACGAAAATTTCTGTCATTTAGTTCAGGTCAAAACGATGTTCATTTAAAATCATGTTAGGGAGAACTGTATGATATGTATATCTTAACTAATGCTTCAGTTACTGAAACATAATTCCGTATTATTTACTCCATTAAATATCACGACACTCATAAAGATCATATGACATTTTCTGATTCGGTTTTACAGTAGTTGCCATAATCCACCTAAATGTATCGACAATATTGGGGAGACCTGGGGTAACTTGGAAGCCCAGTAACCTGTCTTATGAATTCATCAATATCGAAAATAGACTTGATAGTCATCGGTTAATCTCTTCGATAAGCACAAAACATCTTATTTTTATGTACTACATATCTTAACCCCCTTATCTTTTTACTACTCAACCCTAATTTTCATCATTTAGAAAGTTTATGTTCAATTTGCATCTCATCTTTATCTATCCTCTTTAAAGTTAGCCAACATAGATTTTCAGGAAGTCTATTAGGTTGAGCAACATATTCCATGTGGAAAGAAGTTAAATTATGAAACTGTAGCGTTTTACTCAATTTTTCTGAAAATTCCATTTAAGAAAACAGTGCGAATATATCGAGGAGAATTAAATACAATAATACTTGAAAGTACGCCAAGCAGCCACTTAAATTTTTTTGTAAATATTGATTAGGATAATGCTATTTATGAGAATGCATACGATAAATGGGGATTAGTTTCAACGATAGCCTTACAAATCGTAAATCCTGATGTACACATGAAACAGATTTAATTAAAGCCCGATTTGAATTGATAGTATTTACACTTGATGTTGTGATCTACATATGTAAATATCTGATGTAGGGCCATTAGAGGTCATTGTATCAGCGGATAATGAGTAACCAAGTGGCTGAACACAAGTCATGATATTGAATTCATGTTTATGCTAACTGATCACTTGATAGTAGTAACAAATCGTAGTATTTAGTTAGGAGTACTGACTGAATCCCATCAATCAAATTACGGGATGACCACAAGTCTATGCAGCTAGGAATTTTGGTGTACTTTATCTAATATTAATTTGTTATAATTTTATGATCAATAAGTGTATAAACAATCCAGTCCCGTAGATCAATTGCAAACAAAGCAACTCAAAGGTAACGGCTTCGATTGCGAAACGGGTTTGAATCTCATGAGGAGTACATCAGTTTCCCCAATATTGCAGATGAACGAACTAGCATGCAATCCGTGTACGGTTTTTTCAGTCGATTGCCTTCACCAAACTCATACAAAAGGCAATAAGAATAGTGACGTAATAAAAACGAAGACCATTATACCAACAATTAATTACATAACATTAAGGAAGTCAAATTAATTGTTATATCTTCTCAGAATTACTCACTATGATCGAGGCAGGAACATAGAACTTTCAATCAATACTGATCCGCTTATCAAAATAAACCAACAGTCACACCATTCACCAGCGTGATACAACAACATATCGCCTGGAACACGACGATAACGGGCGTAACGACTGATTGCGCGTAATTCATTATCTCGATATGTTGATGATGGGCCAGAAAGATTCAACCCTTCAATTGTACGAAGATAACCAAATATGAGGGCATTCTCCTGAAATCGTTTCAGAATACATGTTTGACGGGAATTACTTAAGATTCCGGATGAACATGATCATAAACTTGTGATAACGTAATTACTATTTAATTAACTACGATCAGTCATCGATTCGAGAAAAAAAACAACTGAGTTAAGTAATTTTTATTAATGTCTTTACTTGGTTTTAACGTTGGAATCCAAGATAACCTATGTGTTACAGTACGAAATGGCATGAAATCGCAGGTGATTATAAAAGAAACAAACTAAGAATTACGATGAAAATAACAGTCACCAATATTACCAGTTTGTTACAATTGCCAAAAAACGCGAGTTTCTATAGGCATTAACACATTTACTAGGATATTTTGAAAAACATCAGTGGCATAAGTGTAGTGTGCAGTGATAATGTTTGGCTTTCCATTGTTTGGAGAAATTACAATAAGGCCAGTTCATAAATTCGATACAGATTCATACAGAGAAAGCTAGTTTTTTTTACTCAAGCTACTGACAGAATCAACTCCCACTAGTCTAATCATCATAGTAAATATAAAGCTAATTTCTCCCATATATGATTCCTTCTTAAAAGTTAAAAACATATTTTCTGGATGTAAACAATGAATGAAAGAAATGGAACTCCAATTTACTTGGGTCTGATTACTGTCATTCACAGAAGGAACGTAGCGTGGAAGTACCACAAAAACTGATGAGATCGGACTAACAAAGTAGTACGCACTACTATTAACATACTGAACAAGTTTCGCATTTTCACTAGGAGAAATATCTGATTAGTCCTTTCACAAAAAACCAGTGTGGCCAGACGATTCCAAAAAATACTAAGTTTCCATGCTATATATATATATATATATATATATATATATATATATATAATTTTGTCTAGATTATGGGCTTTCGTCCAGTTGAATCATTGCGTATAGCTATTAAGGACTATAGAAATGAAAAAACAGCAGTAAAGAAAACACAATACCATAATTAAATCCTGAAAAGACGTGCTCAGAATGGTACCAGAAAATCGTATTTGTTGGTGCGCAAGCTGCAGAAATGACAGGAAAATATGTTATGGTGACCATATTCTACCGAAACTATCTCGAGAGCTCAGTTTTGAGAAAAACAGTAACGTAACATTCTGTCGTTCTGGAGAGTCAGATGATTAATTATAACACTTAAATATTGTCAGCCACAAGTTTGAACGCTCTAATTAGCTGTCATTGAAATATAAACAATCTAAGTAACTTGTGTTTACTGAAGCTTTCCAACCTCTCTATAGGGTTGGAATCCGAGTATGTCTTCTGGAGCGACTTCATGGAAATTTTAATCAACACCATAAACGTTGATAGAAGAATGCAAGCGATTTTACAACATCGGGCATGATAACCCATTAATAAAACAGATAATTTTGATTCTAACATCCAGAAACGTAAATGGCATTACCAGGTTGAAATTTCAGAACCCTATAGTGTTAAAGTCGATCCAGAAAAAAAACGGTTATCGTTTGTTGGTTATGCAATGAATGACACTATATGCGTCTTTGGAACGAACTATTATACTCAGAAAGAATATGCTACGGTTTCACTTGCCGATATTTCAAAATGTTCTTAGATTGACATAGTGGCAAATATTACTGTCATTTCAAAGACGTATAATATAATAGGTTGAATACCAATAACATATCACAATTGATTGATCACTGTGTGGTGATCAATGTCATGCGTGTCAAGTCCTTCTTAGTACTGATCGAATGCTATCGATCAAGTTGCAATGTGGTCACTAGTCTAGGTGGCTCGACACTGCGTGCACTGTATATTGAGATAAGATGGTGGTTGGAGGTGGTCAACAGGAAACCCTGGACCCGGGTTTCGTGTTACTTGGCACTCGTCAGCAAGGTGTACCTGTAATCTTGAGGGAACTGGTGCTCCCTGACGGATTCAATCCCGTGTCCAGGGTTTCCTGTTGACCACCTCCAACCACCATCTTATCTCAATATACAGTGCACGCAGTGTCGAGCCACCTAGACTAGTGGCCACATTGCAACTTGATCGATAGCAATCGATCAGTACTAAAAAAGACTTGACACGCATGACATTGATCACCACACAATGATCAATCAATTGTGATTACATCTCAGTCCTACAGGAGGTCGGTCGCGGCCCGAATAGCTCAGTGGTAACGTCTCTGACTGTGGAGCTGAGTGACACGGAATCGAATCCGTCAGGGAGCACCAGTTCCCTCAAGATTACAGGTACACCTTGCTGACGAGTGCCAAGTAGCACGAAACCCTGGTCCATGGTTTTCCTGTTGAGCACCTCCAACCACCATCTTGCCAATAGCATAATTAAGTAGGGCTGCTCAAAATGCATATACTGATCCTTTGAAAATTTTTTGAAAACCGATATGTGAATTCTTTTAACTAATCACCCGAAAATGTTAATCTGAAATGAATGGATGCACATAGAAGTGTTGGGGAAGTTGAATCCCCAGAACTCACTAGGTAAATGACTTATTTTTGTAATTTTTTCTGAAAATTTGAATTCCTTTGTTTTCGCGCCAAAAGCGCTTTTTCACCTTTGAGTCGTACTTCCCACTTGGGGAAATCTTAAACGATATTGGTCCGTTGTATCTTTAATACGCTATTTTGTAATGCTTCCCAAGGACAATTTTATGCTGTAGATATACGTTTGATTTCTTCCCTTTGTGATTGCTTGTGCTTCTGTCTGCTTACGGAATTTATCTTCCCCACTTCCAACTTGGACTTCTCACTCTAGTTAGCTGGGTCTGGGACGCGTCAGTATAGATAGCTTATTGGGCTCTGGTCACAAGTCTTTGTTTCGTTCGCTGACTAAGTGAATTCGTAACCGCTTCAGACATAACACGAAGATCCCATATTTATGTTCAAATCGGAACTGTTGGGAAGGTTACAACCTAATTATTTGACTTCACAAGAAGCGAGAAGAGCAGAGACAGTAATAGTAATATCCACATCAATACTCAACTCTGTACTGAAGAAAGTGCTAAACGTGTACAGAGACAAGTAGCCGAAAATAAAGTTGTTGACCCAAGGTTGTTAAACCGAAAGCTGTTATATCCCCTGGTGAATTATGAATGGTAACTCCAAGGACTATTTATCGACCAATGTATTATGCGTATTGTACAATTGTTACGTAACTAAACGATTCATATTTGTGTTTCTCTTATCATGAGCTTTATTTTGATCTTTGATTTATTATCATACGATTCTTGAGTTATACTCAGTTATTGATTACTTTGGTTTGTATAAAAACCCATTATGTTTGTAAATAATGATTCATACCACTGAGGCTGTTATTGGTGTTTTGGACTTAATTGGCTGGGCTAGGCAGATCACAGGACCGGTTAGCACTCTAGGCTGCTCGTACGACTTCGTGTCACTGTTCCAATCGAGAATTCGCTCTCCCTAATTGGCGGTCTCATCAAGTCACACATCAACTACCCATCCACTCGGCCACAAGATATAACAAAAGCTAAAGTGCCTTCTGCTGTTAAACCTAAATCAACCTCAAGAAAGCGTAAGGAAAAGAAGGTCGCCAAGCCGAAAGTCCAGACACCGAAGAAGCCAAAGGCCGCAGTAACAAACAAGCCAGTAACTAAGACACTGAAGAAGCAGACGGCAAATCCTCACCGTTTTATCGTACATGGTGTTGAGAAAGGAGCATCTGTACGAGTTGTAAATAAGAGTAAGGGTGCATCTGGTAGCTTTAAAGGAGTCAATGCTAGTCTTAGACAGATTATGTGTAGTAAGTGTTATATCCTAGAGAGGGAGTACGGATAACTTACGGGGGCTATTAATGGACGATTATTCTGTATATATTCTTATTGTTTAACTATTGGGTAATTAGATTGTGTATATCTATATTTATCTTATTATAAGCTTGATTTTGACCTATGAATTATTATTATACGATTTACTGTTCTTAAATTATATTCAGTTTATTGATTATTGTATCCCACATTCACAGCTACATTTGGCTTGATCTTGTACAAATATTATTTTCTATTTTATGGCGTGATGCGGTCTGTCTGTCTGTCTGGTATATAAACCGAGTATGTTTGAAATAAATGATTCGCATAGCAGAAGCTGCAATTGGTGTTCTGCACTCATTTGGAAGGGCTAGGCGGACACGGGACCAATAAGGACGCTAGACTGCTCATACCAGTTGAACATCATTGATTTGGCACAGTGTTAATATTAGACAAGTCGTATTTCGATTGGTGGATAATTCACGTGATAAAAAGCCGGACATAAAATCACAACAAATTGGCATACGTCCTATTTTTTATAAAGTCATAACAGTAAGAACTAGAATAATATAGCAAATTCCGTTTTAGAAAGAGGTTGTGAATGGCGCTTTAACCTTCCTTCAGCTAGTCATCGAGGCGGTGCATGGGGAAGCATCATGAAGTCAATAAGAAGAATCCTACGATCACTACTATTTCAGAAAGTATTGACGGACGAGTCTTTGGAGAAATTTTTAAAAGAGGCTGAAGGATATTACAAATGTATTATTTACTCATAACAATCTACCAAATGCTCAATTTATTTGAAACTATCAAATCAAAACTTGGTAATAAGTAGGGCAAGAATCATACCTGGGGCGATCTATGAGCTGGTACAATAGCCAACATACGAATGAAAGTTGAATCTTCGTCATCCATAATCACCTACAGAGAAATAACATAGAAACTGATTGAAGAAAGTACATGAAACTAACGATGTTGTTTAAAAACAATCATATTAAATTAGATTTTATGATTATTGAATGAAACAGTAAGAATTTTAAACTTCTAGGTAAATCAGCTGTAAAAACAGATAAATGGACAAAAATGGGTGAATAGTTTAGTATATAATACGAAACAATCCAGTTAAAAGTACAGACAGAAGGATCCTTCTATTTAGGGAAGTCCCCCTCGTTCATTTAAGAATCTAAAAGAAAACTACAGTAGGATAATCATTGGCTTCTATTGAAAGTCATCTCTGGTAGTCTCAAGCAACTGAGTTGCTCCATCTCTCGGAACCCAAACATAGTTATCATGGACCGACAGATGTCTACCTTAAACACTTTTCAACCATGCCACAGCAATGTCATAAACTGACCACCTCACTGTTTATCCGTTCCATCCTAGCATCGGTAGAATTTACTGGGATGACATTTATGACGCTGAAGATGGTATTTCAAGATGGTACCATTAGCTGAAATTTTACCACCGACCACGAACAAACATTGCCAAATATCCGCATTATTAGCATAACTTTTCTATCAGATGTCTGCAACCCTCCGGAGACAACGATGATCAGACACAGAGAGTTGCCCGATGTCATCACCTAGAACAGATCAGCATTCACAAGTTTAGGACAAAACTGCTCTTACCGACTCATTATAAACCCGACCTTTAACAACCAGATGCATCATAATGGCATCCAAGATGGCCGAGATCGGTATAAGCCGCTCTGGCCTTTAGTATAAGTAGATTATTTTCATCAATCACACCATCATCAGTACTCACACAACTGACTAGATACAAAAACTTTCGGCTAACTTGAACGGCTCACTACCAAGTGTGCAGGGACGGGCTCCTGCCCATCTTGTAGAAATACTTTGCATATGGTAGTTGCGAAGTACATCCCACGCCTGCGGATACTGATTGCCAACTTGTTAAGTGCGACTCACATGGCTTGAGTATCATTGCACAATAAGACAGTCTTATCCATATACTCAAGACCTAAAAGCCTTCCTTCAGACTTTATGTCCTCATCCTGTTTGTGGTATTTGTGGACATAGCCTTTGAGTATGTTGGTGAATTTCTCAAAAGCATATTTCTTCAAAGAATGGCCCTCCAAAGAATTGAAGACGGACCTGATATCAAGAAACATAACGATTATTGGCTTGCAATTAGTATGGCGGTGCTCTAACATCTGTAGAGCATGAGGGTATGACCAATACATCAACCAGAACAAAAACCAGTCTCTCTTCACAGGTCAATCCTTCGCGGGTTTGGGATGATCTGTAAGGCATGTCGGAAGTCAATAATTGGGATAAAATCGGAAGTAGACTTATCCCTCAGCAGTTGTTGCATAGATGATGCATTTGCTTTTTAAAGATCGGAATGATCGCTTCAATCCAAAAATATGGAACACTACTTCCTGAACGTTTCCAAAAGTAGCCACTTCATCGATCAGAAGTTCGCCATCATTCTCAAAAAAGCCGAGGGTAAGTTGTAGTCAATAACAAGATTAGGTAGTGATTAGACAAGCAAACATGAAAATAACTATATTGGAAAATGTTTGAAATTTCGACAGCAAAAATAAAATTTTACATCGTTTCTTAGTGAAGTCGACTGGAAAGTTCGGTAATAGTCAAGCTGATTTATATCAGTATTTCGATTTATCTCGATCAATAAAAATAATCTATCAATCATAAAACAGAAATACTTCAGAACATATTCACGTCACAAAGGTATAGAGTGCAGTACAAAATAGTAAGTGCCAAGTAATAACGATGATCAAAAACAAATGGCATTCATTCACAGGTCATCGTGACAGATTAGACAAAGACTGCCAAAGAACATTTTTGGGACTCCTAAAGTCCATAGAGAATATAACATCAAGGATTCCTAAAATCAGAAATAACAAAATTATCATGATTGTATTTCAGTTCGGATAACCTATACATGAAAATCCTTACAGTTTTATAAAATGTGTTCTCTAATTAACAGTTATTTCCTTTGCTTGCTAGCTTGTTTTCGCCTATTACTCCCAATGGAGCATAGGCCGCCGACCAGCATTCTCCAACCCACTCTGTCCTGGGCCTTCCCTTCTAGTTCCCTTCTTGTTCATTCTTTTCATGTCTGTCTCCGTTTTTCGGCGTAATGTGTTCTTTGGTCTTCCTTTTCTCCTTTGGCCTTTGGAATTTCAAGTGAGGGCTTGCCTTGTGACGCAGTTGGGTGACTTCCTTAATGTGTGTCCTATCCACTTCCAGCGCTTCTTCCTGATTTTTTTCTCCGCTGGAATCTGGTTTGTTCTCTCCCGCAGTAACTTGTTGCTGAGTGTCTGACCAACGGATTCGAAGTATATTGCGTAGACAGCTGTTAATAAACACTTGCATCTTCTGGATAATGGCTTTCGTAGTTCTCCACGTCTCCGCCCATACAGTAGAACTGTCTTGACATTAGTATTGAAAATTCTAACCTTGGTGTTGGTTGACAATTGTTTTGAGCTCCAGATGTTTTTCAGTTGTAAATATGCTGCTCTCGCTTTGCCGATCCTCGCCCTCACATCTGCATCTGATCCATCGTGTTCATCAATGATGCTGCCCAGATATGTAAAGGTTTCCACATTCTCCAAAGCTCCTCCGTCAAGTGTAATTTCATTGGTGCATATTGTATTGTATCGGAGTCTTGCTTTTCCCTTTGTTTATATTGAGTCCTACTGCTGCTGAGGCTGATGCTACACTGGTCGTTTTCTCCTGCATTTGCTGTTGCGTTTGTGATAGGAGAGCCAGATCATCTGCGAAGTCTAAATCATCAAGCTGCATCATGTCTGTCCACTGTATCCAGTGTTTCCCTCCAGATGTTGAAGTCTTCATGATCCAGTCGATCACCAGGAGAAAGAGAAAGGGTGAGAGTGAGCAACCTTGCCTAACACCGGTCTTTACCTCGAATGAGTCGGTGTGTTGTCCTCCGTGGACGATTTGGCAGTTTAGTCCATCATAGGAGTTCCGTATGATATTGACTATCTTCTCAGGAACGCCGTAGTGTCGAAGAAGCCTCCATAGTGTTTTCCTGTCCACGCTATCAAATGCCTTCTCGTAGTCGATGAAGTCGATGTAGAGTGATGAATTCCATTCGATTGATTGTTCCACAATGATACGTAGAGTTGCGATTTGATCTGTACATGATTTATCCTTACGAAATCCACCCTGTTGATCTCGAAGTTGGGCGTCTACTGAGTCCTTCATCCTGTTTAACGATACTCTGTTGAAGAGTTTTCCTGGTATTGAGAGAAGAGTGATGCCCCTGTAGTTATCGCACTTGCTGAGATCGCCTTTCTTTGTTATCTTGATCAGAAGTCCCTTTTTCCAATCTATTGGTACTTGTTGTTCGTCCCAGATCTTACTGAAGAGGATGTGGAGTATCTTTGCAATTGCTGTTACATTTGCTTTCAGTGCCTCTGCCGGGATGTTGTCTATATATATATATATATATATATATATATATATATATATATAGAGAGAGAGAGAGAGAGAGAGAGAGAGACAGAGAGTTTATATACGATTATTTCTTAATTGTAAAATGTCATTCATTTAGATTGTGTAGCCTAATAATTTGCCGTTCATTTTTACACCATAACGATGATAACCAGGACATTTTATTGTATTCATGTATAGACCAACTAGTATAAGCATACCTGATGATCTTGTTAAGAAATCAAATGATCCTCATCAACAGTCTTCTTCAACTGTACTACTACCGAAAATCTTCTCAGGAACGCCGTAGTGTCGAAGAAGCCTCAATAGTGTTTTCCTGTCCACGCTATCAAATGCCTTCTCGTAGTCAATGAAGTTGATGTAGAGTGATGAATTCCATTCGACTGATTGTTCCACAGTGATACGTAGAGTAGCATGCAAGCGAAAATTCATTGAAAACCAGAAGAACCAAAGGAGTGTAACGTGGATAAGTTTTTTTTCATTTGTCAAACAGAATAAGGCCGAGGTTGAATGTGAAAAATAATTACACTTATTTCTTCCCTTTAACTGATATGTTCTGCGTTAAAATTGAGGAGTCTAACCCGCTAACTTTGCTATTGTCCATTTTTATAGTCTCAAGGTTGAGTGTGGAAATGGAAAGTACTTCAGCTGTCACATGAAGGATATTTTACTGTGATGTGAATACCAGAGCACTTTTTATTCAAAATCAACTTGTCCTACTCGAAACAGAAAGCGCAGCCTAACAGGACTGTGGACTAATGTGAGAGGGGATGCTTCAAAGCCAAGGTAAAATCTATGAAACAAAATTGGAAAAGCCTATCAACGGTGACTGAACCAGGGGATAGAAACTAGTGCCGTAAAATGGTAACTGTTAATCGCCGTAAGATAGAGAACAGATGTGTCTATCAGACTGGTACTGATTTTAACCTACATGACAAGATGTTACCAACCACATGTTTTAAATTCCGAAGCGACAGACAGACAGTAACAACGTGGAACTACGTACGTACGTACGTACATCAGTTCAAGTTGCTATACCACATTAGCACAGAGATACAGTAATCGATTAAAATCCCATAACGGTGGAGGTAATAATCGGAAAGACTATGGTTTGAAGACGTTATTCAAGGAGTATAATTCAGTGCATTAATTTTGAAGAGAGAAAAATAGGGGCATGAAAAATTCAGCAGATAAAAATTTCGGAGAACGCGATGCCACTCATGAAATTTATACTTTCCTGGAGAATTATATGTAGTTTTACAAGATAACCAAAAATGAACACAAAATTTCATAGAGAGATGCACACGATGGATGGTAATGTGATGATAAGTATTGTAATACTAAGCCACAAAGTTTGGATAACATCAATAAAGCTTAACTAACTTCTGTACAATATATAATTAGAAATTAGGTGTAAAACTAGTTAACTAACAATGTACAATAATATGGAGGAAATAAGTCATTTAAGGCAATGTCCTAGTATACCACTCAGAATTGAGATGATGCTGGTGAGATTCAAGGCTATGTGAGAAAACTACACTGAATATGGTGTTTACCAAAACCAGAGGGAAACTACGAAACGTGGGTGTGTGACTCAACAGCAATTTAGACAACACTATAATTTATAGACGAACCAATAAGAAATCCATTCAACCGTTTGGCCAGATAGCCTTTTGTCGTTACCGCTGATGTCGTCTCGTGACAAAAACTCTGAATTTAGTCCTTAATTCTGGTCACCAACTTTAAATCACAATTTTAATGCGCGCGTTTCAAAAAGGGCAGTGACTTTCATACTTGTTGTGATTATCGTCGCTTTTGTGTATTTGTTGTATCAAAAGCATTCTTGGTCTACTTTAACTTGAAATTTTATTGAAAACTTTGTCTCGTGGTTCCTTCTTTTGCATATACTCTGACGCTTGTGCTATTATTGTGATCATATTGTGTTTTAAACCTAATCTGATTACAATGGTTGATAGTTCATTCAAATGTGGACAGCCGAACTGTTTATTCCCCGTAGATGAAGGGATGCAGTGCGATGAATGCAAAAAATGGTTCCACAAGATGTGTACCCGTCTCAGTCCAGCTGCATACAAAAGATGTTCTAGGCCTAACTCGCACTGGCTTTGTATGTTCTGTTGTACTAACAAGACGACATTAATCCAAGAGGCTATGAGTCTATTGGCTCTAGCCTGTAAAAAGAAAGATAGTGGGTGCGCTAGTAACGCAAGCACTGACAGTGAAGACTGTGTCAGTGTTGTAAGTGCTGTTACAAAACGCGCTGAACAACCTACTCTAATTAATGACAAAGTGAAACTTCCGTTACAACAAACGAGGAGTAAATCACCACATGGTATTGACATGAGTAATCATGCATCTTTAGTAGAAATTGAGGACCCGGATAAAACCGTCACCGTCCCCAATAGTCCCAATGCATCTGCCCTGAATGACCAAAAATGAACCGCAGTAAAGAGGAAAAGAAAAGGAAAAAAAGCTAATGATAAAGCACACTTGGTTGACAAGCCATTGAGGAACTCACAGTCTGAGTCACTCAATGCATTATCGCACTCTGATAGAACGGCAGAGCATCATCCTAGTGCGACTGAGAGGAATTTAATATCATCGAATATTATTGTGAGTAAATTGCCAGAGTCTAACGATCCAGATCCTAAGGTTAGACACACCCATGACTTAGAGAAGCTCGGAGAATATATCCGTAGCATATTACCAGATAACACTAAAGGTGTTCAGGTCAAAAAATTAGTTAGAATAGGTAAAAGGGCCGATGACAGTGTTCTACCCCGACCGTGTAGACTCCTTAAGGTAATCTTAGGGTCGAAGAAACAACGTAACCTTCTGTTAAGTAACGCTCGAAGTCACGACAACTCTGACATTCGAATGCGACCGGATGTGTCTCTTGAAGATAGAATAAAAAGGAAGACGGCACTAGCTGAACTAGAAACCCGTCGACAAAACGGTGAAGAAAATCTCCGATTGGTGGGTTTTCGAATAGTCAGGTCTTGGAAGCGAATGCTACCAAGGCCTGTGTGGATAGGTCGTTCCCCCTAGGAGTTTTATATGCCAACGCCCGTAGTCTAAAACATAAATTCTACGAGCTAGGAACATTAGTGGACAAATTAAGGCCACTCATTGTAGCTGTGACGGAAACTTGTTTAGTCCATGACTTCGATATCACCCCAGAATTATCCGGATATCATTGTTTAAGAAGTGATAGACATAGATGCAGGAAAGGAGGTGGCGTCCTTCTATACATAGCCAATAGTATAAATATCCGCTCCTCCGTTTGCGAATCCCATGATAGTGGAACTAGTGAAGTCATTAGCTGTGAACTCACTGTCGGATGTTGTACATTTGCACTCGGTGTCATCTATCGCAGCCCAATCTGCTTAGCTGATGACTTTATTTTAGAGCACATTCGGCTATGGAGTGCAAATAACAGATGCTTGATATTAGGAGACTTTAATGCACCTGAAATTAATTGGACTGAGATGACCACGAAATGCTCTATAAACTCATTTGATAGCAGGCTCTTGGAAACGGTAATGGAAC